GATCTTGCCATTGCACTCCAGCCTGGGCAACAGTGCGAGACTCTGTCTTAAAAAGAAAGAGTGGGGGGGGGTGGAGAGAGAGAGAGAGAAAGAGAGAGAGAGAGAGAGAGAGAGAGACAGAGCGAGAACGCCCTAGATGGCATCTTCTTCCATTAGAAGGCTATTTCATTCACACTGAAAATCTGTTTGGTGTAGCCACCTTCATCAATGATCTTAGCTACATCTTCTGGATAACGTGACTCACTTCAGCTCTTGCTGCTTCACCTTGCACTTTTAGATTATGGTTCGTAAGTTCCTTACACTTACAAACCAATGTCTGCTAGCTTCAAACTTTTTTCCTGCAGTTTCCTCACCTCTCTTAGCCTTCATAGACTTGCAGAGAATTAGGGCCTTGCTCTGGATTAGGCTTTGGTTTAAGGGAATGTTTTGGCTGGTTTGATCTATCCAGACCACTCAAACTTTCTCCCTATCAGCAATAAGACTGCTTTACTTTCTTTCTTTCTTTTTTTTTTTTTTTTTGAGACGGCGTTTCACTCTTGTTACCCAGGCTGGAGTGCAATGGCACGATCTCAGCTCACCGCAACCTCCGCCTCCTGGGTTCAGGCAATTCTCCTGCCTCAGCCTCCTGAGTAGCTGGGATTACAGGCACGCGCCACTACGCCCAGCTAATTTTTTGTATTTTTAGTAGAGACGGGGTTTCACCATGTTGACCAGGATGGTCTTGATCTCTCGACCTTGTGATCCACCCGCCTCAGCCTCCCAAAGTGCTGGGATTACAGGCTTGAGCCACCGCACCCGGCCATGTTTATTAGTTTTTTAAGAATCTTCTTATGTTGAAAGACAATTTGGTTGAGAAGTTAATTGTAAGTTGCTGCTTATTTTCTTAGAACATTTTGAAGACGGTGTTTTGTTTTCTGGCATAATTGTTGCCACTGCCTTACCTGTCAGGGTAATTATTTTCCTTTATAAGTGAATTTTCTTTTCTCTCTGGCTGCCTTTAGTAACTTATTTTTTCTTTGATGTTCTGTATTTTTTCTGATATGGGTTGATTTCTTTTTATTAATTTTTCTTACTGTTTATTGAGATTCCTCAGTCTAACAGTTGGCTCCTTTTGTCAGTTCTGGAAAATAGTTTTTAGTAATACCTTCTTGAATATTACCTCTCCTTAATTCTCAGTTCTTTTTGGGCAGAACCCTGACTGAAATTATATTTGTTCTTCAGTCTGCTAAGCCTTTAATTTCTTTTTTTTTTTGAGATGGAGTTTCGCTCTTGTTACCCAGGCTGGAGTGCAATGGCGCCATCTCGGCTCACCGCAACCTCCGCCTCCTGGGTTCAGGCAATTCTCCTGCCTCAGCCTCCGGAGTAGCTGGGATTACAGGCACGCGCCACCATGCTCAGCTAATTTTTTGCACCATTAGTAGAGACGGGGTTTCACCATGTTGACCAGGATGGTCTCGATCTCTTGACCTCGTGATCCACCCGCCTCGGCCTCCCAAAGTGCTGGGATTACAGGCTTGAGCCACCGCGCCCGGCCTAAGCCTTTAATTTCTATCTCATATTATTTCCCTATCTTTTAATCTGTGCTGTATTGTGGATAATATCTTCAATTATATACTAATTTTCTATTTGATTGCATCAAGTCAGCTTTTTAACTTGTTCATTGGTTTTAAATTTCAGTTATAACATTTTTTCCTCTTTAGTTCTATTTATTTATCAAGTTCTCTTTCTCCTTTTTTAAGTTTCATATTCTTAAATAGTCAGTGTTGACTTTTACTTTTATTTATTTATTTATTTGAGACAGAGTCTTGCTCTGTTACCCAGGCTAGAGTGCAAAGGCACGATCTCAGCTCACTGCAACCTCCACTTCCCAGCTTCAAGCGATTCTCCTGCCTAAGCCTCCCGAGTAGCTGGGACTATAGGCGCCCACCACCACATCCAGCTAATTTTTGTATTTTTAGTTAGAGACAAAGTTTCACCATATTGGCTAGGCTGGTCTTGAACTCCTGACCTTGTGATTTGCCTGCCTCAGCTTCCCAAAGTGCTGGTATCACAGGCATGAGCCGCCATGCCCGGCCAACTTAAAAAAAAAAAATGTTAGTAGTTATCTTTAATTCTGTGTATGGCATTTCCAATATTAAAGTCTTTTCAGCTCTGCTTCTAATTCTTTGTTTTTTTGCTTATTCTGGAATTGGGGGGGGGGGCTTATTTCCTTGTGTGTTTGCATTTTTATTTTTATTTTTTTTACCATAAACTTATGTTTTGTAGAACTTTGAGGAGATTCTGAGTCCTAGATTCCTCTGAAAGATTTGTGTTTGTTTTTTCCAGGCATCTTGAGGAGTGCTACACCTTGGATTGTGACTAATTTAAAATACAATCTTGGCTGGAGACTTTTGGGAGCCCCTGGTCATGTTAATTTGAGTGATTGCAAATCCACATAAAGAACAGTTTATGATTAGGAGTTATCAGGGAAGATTATCTCTTAATAGTGCAAAGATAGAAATAGGTAAAATTTATTTTGTCTGTTTTATGGTAGATGTTTATTTTTAGCATCCTGAGATGAGTGTGTAGTCCTTTGATGTTGCAGCTTTACATTGTGGTCTCATATTATATTTGATATCTTGGGGAATCCATGGCATTTTCTCTTGTTCCATGCAACTCAAATAGCTGTTTTTTTTTTTTTTTTTTTTTTTTTTTTTTTTGAGACGGAGTTTCGCTCTTGTTGCCCAGGCTGGAGTGCAATGGCGCGATCTCGGCTCACCGCAACCCCCGCCTCCTGGGTTCAGGCAATTCTCCTGCCTCAGCCTCCTGAGTAGCTGGGATTACAGGCACACGCCACCATGCCCAGCTAATTTTTAGTATTTTTAGTAGAGACGGGGTTTCACCATGTTGACCAGGATGGTCTTGATCTCTTGACCTCGTGATCCACCCGCCTCGGCCTCCCAAAGTGCTGTGATTACAGGCTTGAGCCACCGCGCCCGGCTCAAATAGCTGTTGAAAAAGGAGCTCAATATTGCAGGTGCTTGGTTAATTGCTTCAGGGCAAAAGGCAGCTTAAGTTCTTATCTACCTACCTGGGTTCCTATTTTGTTTACCTTTTTTGGTCTCTGAGATTTATTTTCTTTTCATTTCAATGGTAAACTGAAAAACAACTTTTAAGTATTGCATGAAGTATACTTAGTTATTTGAACCAGGAGTGTTTTCACAGGGTTCATAGTCATACAAATTGCCAGTAACAGAATCCTCCATGTTCTTTTTATAATTATACTGAATAGAAATGTATGAATGAATAATTTTGTGTATATTGTATTGAAGCTTGACTTTTTTTTTTTTTTTTTTTTTTTTTTGAGACGGAGTTTCGCTCTTGTTACCCGGGCTGGAGTGCAATGGCGCGATCTCGGCTCACCGCAACCTCCACCTCCTGGGTTCAGGCAATTCTCCTGCCTCAGCCTCCTGAGTAGCTGGGATTACAGGCACGCGCCACCATGCCCAGCTAATTTTTTGTATTTTTAGTAGAGACGGGGTTTCACCATGTTGACCAGGATGGTCTCGATCTCTCGACCTCGTGATCCACCCGCCTCGGCCTCCCAAAGTGCTGGGATTACAGGCTTGAGCCACCGCATCCGGCGACTTTTTTAATTTAATGTTGTGTCTTGAGATCTTTTCAAGTTGTATATAAAATCTTTTTCTAATACCAAGCTACGTAATTCAAATAAACTGTATTTGAAGACAACTAGAAAAGCTGAACAAAATATATAAAGCATTTGATTTAAAGCAACAGTGAAGTAATAAGGTAAAGAAGAATCATCAGGCCAACTCAAAAAAAGGTTTCTGCTGGCTAAATAAGCCTCCATTGGAATTTTAAAATGGAAATTCCACCCACAGCATTTTTTTGCTTTTATATTATTGGCCAATCTAAATTTCAGGAAACATGGGCATTTTCTTCTTTTTTAAATGTACACATGGTCTCCCGTGACATTATTCTGTTTCTAACAAAATGGGAGAATAAACATTCTAGTGAGAGGCAACTGGCTAGGCACAAATATATTTTTCTGCAAGTTTAACTTTAGGAAAAATTTCAAAAACAAAAGAAACTACGAAACACCTCATTTGTGTTTTTATTGGGGTTCATCAATTTATTCAATTTAGAGAGAATTGATATCTGTGTCACATTTCATTTTAATTACTGATTTTTGCTGTTAAGTCCCTTGCTGGTATCATCAATGTTTACTTCATCTTATTATTCATGCCGTCTTTAAAAGCATCCAACACTAAGTATGCATCCAGATATTTGCTGATTAGATACATGAAAGAATGTGTAATCCTAACTCTTTATTTTCCAATGGAAATAGAAAGATTCTGCTGTAAGTAACATTGTTTCTTCCCTTAAGAAGATTACAGCTGCTGGTTTAGCTATTTTTAACTTTTTAGGAGAAGATATGGAACATCTCAGTGCTTGAATCAAAGTAAAGTATCCTCTCCTTAGAAAAAATGGACATATGAGCCTACAGCAAATTTTGCACATAGTTCTAGGAAATTAACAGATACTTGAAGCATCCATTCCTTAAACCCAGCTCAGCAAACTTTGCTCTGTAAAGATCTCAACCTTGCTACATTGAAGGTTTGGGTCTACAGATGTGAACTAAAGTCAGTTCCACCGTCATGAATATACTATTAAGACTATTACCAACTCTAGATAGATCAATAATTCCCTTAAAGAGAGATCTGAGGATGTTATACCTGTATATAGACAAGAACAAGCCAGGTCATGGTGACACCTTCCCTCTCTCTGGCCCTTGGAAGCCAGAAGGATGTTGTCTTGTCTTCACCCTTCATCAGACTGTGTCATCTACCTTAAAACTCATCATTAGGGGGACACTGCATCTCTTCTTGCCCAGGACAGTCCTGGTTTGTACCTATCGTTCTAGTGTGGTTTTTAAAGAGTGCTTCCTTTCACTTTCAAAAGTGTCCTAATTTGAACAATAAATTGTATGCACCACCCTATTAAGAATGAGCAGCCCTTGATTGGTGTGTAAATTTATTTCTTCCCAACCACATAGATTCCATTCTCAAAGGCAGTTCTTTCAGAATCCCCACTGTGCCCTCTATTTCTCTTCTTCCTCAGTCTCAGTCCAGACTTTGATCTGCCTGATCAGGAGCCAAGACTCTTGAGATGCCAACACCAGCAGTCGGATACAACTCAATTCTTCCACAGACTCTTTTTCAGAAAATACTATCTGGTCCAAATTCCCTCCCACCAGTGGCCCTAGCAGGGCATAGCGAGTGCAGCCTTTGGGCTCCTCCTGGGGATCATAGCCCAGTTCCACTTGCCCCTGCTGCAGTTGGTACCTCCCTTCTTTGTCAGAGCCTGTTAGCACCGCTATCCGGGTGACTCTTTGTGGCCTGTCCAGAATCACTGTCAAGTAGTTTCCTTTTAAAGGATCTAAGGTAGAGTAGCCCTCCTCGTTCAGTATATAAGCGTATTGTGGAATCACAGACAATATTGATACCATGTCAGTGAGGACAGTAGCAGCAGGGTTGTCTGGTTCACCAAAGACCTTATCCTTCTCCACGGGAAAGCATATGTCGCCAAACACAGAATAATCAGCTGTGTGGTGGAAGACAGAGGGACTGAAATGAATAGGAACAGTCTGGGCCAAGAGAAGACGAAATTCAGACAGAAGCAAGTGAATAGGAGTGTCCTTCTGGAAGAGGAGGAAGAAAGCTGTCAGGCGGGAGAGGTCACTGGTGTGGAAAACTCTCCCAGAGATGCTCAGGTGGGCGAACTCCAGGATCACCCAAGGTAGTTCTTTCCAGGCTGATAATGCCAAAGAGATGGCAGCAACAAATTTAGGGGTGCAATGAATATGATCTTCCAACAGTAGAAAGTAATCAGAGAGGTTGCTGGCAAAGTTCATGAGGAGGGCATGATCTACTTTCTGCCTGGAATAGAGGGCTTCACAGGGTGATGAGTGATTAACGTCACTCAGATCTCCTGGGAGAGGAGAGCCACCGTGGATCACCAGCAGCTTCCCTGCCCCAATCTGTGATGCGAAGAGACCTGAAATATTGGCAGCTGTTTTGCTGAGCCACTCAGGGTCAGGACCTGACAGGTGGACCAGCACCACGATATACTCCAGCTCACTTTCTGAGGAAGCTTGGAACACGGACTGCAGGGTGTTCAAGAGGTAGCTCCCACGAGGATGCTGCATTGAGGCAATCCCTAGGGTCAGCAGTCCTGGGGGAGACATGAGGCATATTAGCACTTCAGGAGGGTGAAGAGTTCCTAAGACTCTCCTCTCAAGCCTTCCCTTTATGCTGATCCCAGTGACAATTCACATTCCTTTTCCTGGGGCATGTAGTCCACATGGGAGGTTAACAGCTGATCAAAAACTGTGATATGGTTTTATTTGGTCAGAGTATTGTGGTCAATACTTTGGAAGGCTCTTGGGGAAGCTTTGTGAAGGGTAAGGCTCTCTCATGGGCAAGACTGCCAGGTACCAAAGGGAAGTTTGCTGGCTTGGCAAAGTATCTTAGCCTGGCCTAGACCTTCAGAGTTATCTCAGCTACACAGATCAACCTGTGGATTCGAGAATGTCAGGAAATCTATGTACACCCAAGGGTCCGGCAGTCTAGTGCACTTAGCCCAGAAGTCCACATGGCCCTCTTTGCCCTCTACCCAATGGCTTTTCCCGTGGCTCCCTCCAGCTCCTCTCCCTTCCTGTCTTCCCCTCCCTGGGGGCCTGCCACGACTGAGCTTCACTATGGGACAGCTCCTTCTCGGGGTCACTATGGCCCTTCTGTCCTGTTGGTCATTCAAGGGGTGACCAGGTGGGAGGAAAACACGCTCGGAATTATAACGTGCACCCAATTCCACAGCGTGGCCCTGCCTCAGAGCACCCTCTTTGCTCGCCACGTGCCAGTCACTTCCCTTTTTGACCCTCCTTCCTTTTTCTGGCTGAAATACCCTGTCTGGCCTTCTCCCAGTCTGACCACTCCCTCCCAGCTACTCACTCTTTTCCCGAGGAGGGGCTCCAGCCAGGAATTGGTAGCTGGCACGCTGGAAAAGAGGGGAGTCTCTCTGCATCTTCTTGAAGGTCTGCAGATGGATCTTGCTTTCAAAGCTGATTTGTTCCTGAACTGTCTGCCAAGCTATGTCCCCTTTTTCCTTCTGAGGATAAGAGATGTCAGTCCTGAAATCCCTCCCCAGATTCTCTGAAGACACTTTAGGATCAGATCACCCTGTAAAACAGGCTAGGCAAGCCTCAGCTTCCTGTTCCTTGGGAAGCCCAGCATCAGGGCTCAGGGAACCGCTCTTCCCACCTCGTCATAAGAACACGCAGGGCTTTCCAGCAGATGTCATGGATTCCCTGAGTCGGGAAGTGGGGCCCCCAGGCTTGTGTGGGGGGCCTGCGGGAAGGGCCGAGGCTTGTGTGGAGTAAGCACCTGCCTGCTCCCACCGTCATCAGGCTAACCAAGGTGTGGTCTGCCTCGGCTTAGGCCTGGGCTCGGTTCTGTGAGATGTGCTGGTGCCCAGTGCCTCAATTCTAGAGTCCGTTCTCTTGCTCATATCTGACCACACACACATTCTGAACCACTCCCCACACCTGCCCTATGCTTAGCTCTGGCTGGTCTGAGGTGGTTTAGGAAAAATGTGGATTTCAAAGCCTGGCCAGAAACTGTGCGGCGTTTGGTCTCCTCACCTGCAGATGTTGTCCGCTTGGGGAAGCTGTTTCTAATCCTTCATATGAGAAATGGGAAAAATACCATCTCCGTGCCCAGGTCCTGGTTGGGAGGTGGCCAGCACACAGGTCCTCATCACCCGCTGTTCCTACCAGTCAGCCTGGTCCTCTAGAGGAGGCTGATTACCACCCTCTCCACACCTGGAGTCCCCTTTCTTCCATATTTCAAGGCTAGTTTACACTTTTTCTCTGACATTCTCCCGATTCTTCGCGTGTTCTCTCCTTAGAACTACTGTGATGAGACTAACATGTTTCACAGATTTGGCAAACTTTCCCTCTTACTGAAGTGTCAACAAATGGCTGCAGCCTCGATCTCCGGTACTCACCAAAAATACACTGTGCTCAGCCCGCTCTTGTTTATTCCCTTGGAGAATGAAGCCCAGGATGGCTAAGGACACGGCAACAATGATGTATCTCGACAGGCAGCAGTGCATGGTGCTGGGGCCAGGAGCAGCTCTGCAAAGAAATGTGAGCTGGTATACGTATCCTGAGTTCCTCTTGCTCAGAGAGCACCTGGGTCTTTCCTTCTGCCTGGCATCCTCCCACCTCCTTCCCCTCATCCCTCTTCCTGCACATTACTGCTTAATTCTTTCCTTAAACTTCTCCCTCCTGGTTCAACTCTTCCCATCACTTGGCCATCTAAGGAAAGACAAAGATCACAGAGGTTGATTCTATTCAGCGTCCACCTTCTTTATCCTTTCCCTGCATTTCCAGGTGAAATTGGAGGAGCTACCTTCTTTTATCCACTCTGGTTTAGAGCTCCAACCAGAGGGGCGCGTTACCAAGAAGAGGAAATCAAGGAGTTAATTATATTTTTTCCCCAGATGTCAGATTCAAGCCGAAGACTCCTCTTGGATTTGTTGATCAATAAATTGGGTCTTGTCTATTAGTTCCACATTACTTTTGCATCTGCACCTTTCCAGGGTTATGTCAGGCAGATATACGAGGTTTTCAATCAAATCAGAGGGATCGAAGGAAACGCTTATTGGTATATCTTCTCCATGCTGGGACTGGTAAGAAGGATGAAACCTCAAAGTGACCAGAAACTTCCAGTCATGTGCAAGTCTTCACCATGTTGGAAGCGCTATATCCACTGACGTCTTTTTAGTCTAATAGAAAATGTGGCTTCAGGGCTTATCGAAGAGCAGGGATTTCTCCAAATTCAAGGAGAAAAACCTTTAATGAAGGACCCCCCCCAGAGGGGGTCCTCTGAGGTAGCTGAAACTAGCCACCCCTCCCAGGAGACCCCACCTGACAACCATTGTTCTCCCTGAATGGGGGCTGCTCACCCCTCTGGCCTCATGTCAAGCACTGTTTCTAGGTGAAGCAGGGTTAGGGGGCAGGATATACTTTCAAAACCAGCTTTCTAGTCTTCTACCTCAAACCCCAATAGTTGGAAAGTAACCGTCGTTACTTTCAAAGTCAAACCAACAGACTCAAAGACAGTCGGCAAAGGTGACTTCTGAATGACCTCTCTCCATATGAGAGGACCCCTGGATGAGTCACTGCTGCCATGTGGCACCTCTGTCCCCGGATGCTGCTTCACTGTGCTGCCTGGGGCGCCTCCTGGCCACCAGAAATTGGTCTTCAAATCTCTAGTTCTCTCTTGAGCCCGCAACTGCCCAGTGGGCTGCTGATGTTTTCTTTTCTTTTCTTTATTTTTATTTTTTATTTATTTTTGAGATGGAGTCTCACTCAGTCACCCAGGCTGGAGTGCAGTGGTACGATCTCGGCTCACTGCCACTTCCACCTCCTGGGTTTAAGCGATTCTCCTACCTCAGCCTCCTGAGTAGCTGGGACTACAGGCACATGCCACCATGCCCAGCTAATTTTTGTGTTTTTTAATAGAGATTGGGTCTCACGATGTTGGCCAAGCTGATCTAGAACTTCTGACTTCAAATCCACCTGCCTCGGCGTCCCAAAGTGCTGGGATTGCAGGCATGAGCCACCCTTCTCTTTATTCCTTCTTTTCCATTGCTAAGAATGTATTTCCAGTTCTTCCTCCCTACACTTAGGATTTTACTTATACTTGTGTGGTTCTGACAAGCCCATATATTTTAAAACCATATACTTCTATTGGGGCATGACTTCTTTTAACTAGTTTTTTCCTTCCCCATCTTCCTTTTTCCCTTTGAATCCTGTTCTTCCAATTTTTCCTTTTTCGGACCCCTCCTTTTCTCTTCTAGAAAACAACCAACCAACAACCAACTCTTTAAAGATTTATATTAAGGTTAAGACAAGGAAGATCAAAACACATCTTTTTTTGGCATTGAAAAATTACGTATATTGCCAGACACTGCCCCTCATGCGTGATGCTGTGTAGGTCTCTGTAAAGTCCGTGCTGTCTCGCTCAGCAGCCAATCAACTTATAGTTTATTTTTTTCTGAGTTTTGTTTTGTTTTGTTTTGTTTCTTTCCTAACTGAAGTATGAAAAAGTTCTAGGTTCAGTTGAAGATCTGATGAAGAAACGCAATTGAGATTTTTTTCAGTGGTAAAATCTGCATATTTGTGTGTCAACAATGCAGCTAAAACTTGATGCACATCCCTCCTTTTTTACTTTTTTGGCTTAATAAATATCATTTATTCAGACTGAAATATTTCTACTGTATGTCCCACATGTTAATAAATTTATACTACATCTTGCTAAGACAGAAATTATATATAACTTTGATGAAGTTCAGTTTATGTATTTTTCCTTCATGGTCAGTGATTTTTTGGGTCCTATTTAAGAAATATCAAGGCCAGGCGCGGTGGCTCACACCTATAATCCCAGCACTTTGGGAGGCCGAGGCGGGTGGATCACGAGGTTGAGAAATCGAGACCATCCTGGTCAACATGGTGAAACCCCGTCTCTACTAAAAATACAAAAATTAGCTGGGCATGGTGGAGCAGCCGGTAGTCCCAGCTGCTTAGGAGGCTGAGGCAGGAGAATTGCTTGAACCCGGGAGGTGGAGGCTGCAGTGAGCCGAGATCGCATCACTGCACTCCAGCCTGGGTAACAAGAGCAAAACTCCATCTCAAAAAAAAAAAAAAGAAAGAAATAGCAAGAGATTTGTTAAAGAATACGAAATGACAACTAGACGGGAGCAATGGGTTCTGGTGTTCTATAGCACTGCATGATGAATTAATGATAATGTGCTATATACTTTCAAACAGCTTGAAGGAGGGTATTGAACGTTCTCAACACAAAGCAGTGACATGTTTCAGATGAGGGATGTGTTAATCCCCTGAGCTGATCACCTCACGGTACATGCCTGGCAACATCCCTCTATGCCCTTTAAATGTGTACAGTTATCACGTGCCAATTAAAAAATATATATTATTTTATCCCAAGGCTGCAAAGACATTCTCTTACATTTCCTTCTAGAGACTTGATAGTGTTCATTTTTACCTTTAGGGTGCTGATTCATCTCAAATTCATATTTGTGTATGAGATGAGGTTGGGGCTGAGGTCTGTTTTTCTGCACCAATAGCTAGTTGTTCCAGCACCATTTGTGGAAAAGACTTTCCCTTATCCTTTGAATTCCTTTGTCACCTTGTCAAATTCAATTAACTGTATAAGTTTGGGGCTCTTTTTAATCCTTTTAGTTTCATTGACCTATCTGATATCTTTACTGTTGTAAGTAGTATCACATTGCCTTTTGCCCCCCACTCTGAGGTCATGGTGATGGTCTCCTATGTCTTCTTCTTGCAGTTACATAGGGTGGATTCTTACGTAGCATGTTAGTTAGGGTTCCAATCATATTCTTTTTCTCATGTGAATGACCATGAATCCTTGCACTACTTACTGGAACTGAACATCCTATTCTCAGTCATTTGTAATGCCACCTCTACTGTAAATCAGGTTTCTATATATTTCTACTTTTTTTTGAGATAGGGTCTCACTCTGTTGCCCAGTGATACAATCACGGCTCACTGCAGCTTTAGCCTCCCTGGGCTCAGGCAATCCTCCCATCTCAGTCTCCTGAGAAGCTGGGACTACAGGTGCATGCCACCAGGCCCAGCTAATTTTTGTACTTTTTGTAGAGATAGAATCTCACTATGTTGCCCAGGCTGGTCTCAAATTCCTGGGGCCAATTGATCTGCCTGCCTCAGCCTCCCAATGTGTTTGGATTACAGGCATGAGCCACCACACCAGGCCTATATTCCTACTTCTTGGGCATGATATTTTACCCACGTCCCTAAACCATGCCCTTCGGATTGCAATAATTCCTTGTCAATTCTTTCTTTAGTTTGCAGTTTTTTTTGTTTGTTTGTTTGTTTTTTTTGAGACGTAGTTTCGCTCTTGTTACCCAGGCT